GGCCCCCCGCGCCCCGCCGACGGCGCCCGGGACGACTATGGACCGACTTTTGGCGATTATGAGGCGAAATTCAACGTATTTAGACGCTTTTTGAAAGGATTCTCGTAGCAATTTTTCAAACTTCGTCCCTACACTTTAAAAGAATGAATTTAGGTTAGAAAAAGGAGGTTTTTGTGTGAGAGGAATGTTAAGAAAAGTGTGGAGAAAGTTTAGGGTTTTTAAAATATGACTAGAAATGTAGATTTCTACCCTTGTAGATTTCTCCATTTTTGGAGAGATTGGAGAGGAGATTTTGAGAGAATTTGTAAGGAGATGTTATAACATTGCATGGATCGGCGAGAGACTTTGTGGGAGAGATTTTTTTCCTTCTTTCGAAGGGAAAAAGCTAAGTATTGTGCTCTTCATTATCTTATGATTTTGTAAACACTTATCTAGTGGATTTCCTTTGGTTAAATGAAGTTTTTGTTGTGTTCTCTCTGTGCTTTGTGATGGGCTTCTCTTACTCTTTCTTCTTCTTTGGAAATAGTGGCATGAGAAGATTATGTCATTATTTTTATTTGTAATGAGTAGAATTCATGTTTAGGATTTTGTGATGCATGTTAGGAGCGGATTTAATTATCAATGTGATGGTTTTTACTTGCACTTTATTTACATTACAATAAAGACATGTTGTAGTGTTAAAATTCATTGTAATTGCATTAAGAGATACGTATACTTGCGTTTGAAATTGTGACTTTACAAAATCATTATAAATATATAAATCTGGGTTCATAAATTTTTGCATATTAAAAGTTGCATCAAGTTTTTGGCGTCATTGCCGGAGATTTAAATCTTTTAGTAGTGGTGTCAAATTCTTGTATTTTAAAGCATATATAAAGTCACTGCCAGAAGACTTGGACTTATTGTATAAAATATGATCTTAATTTATCAGAACTAAATAAAAATATGACACTAAATAGGAGCAATGGAGAAAAAAGGATTTATGTAGCCGACCCCACATAGTGGGATTAAGGCTTTGTTGTTGTTGTATGTTATGTACCATTAATACATAATTACCATTGATTAATTCATAATGTCAGGCAAGATGTGTGCATGTTAACATTTTTTGCATAAACAATTGCACAATAGTTTTCTTATGGAGATATTAAATAATTACATAATATGTAGTTTCGATTAAAGATATCTTTACTCATTAGTAGCTAAATATAGAGCATCTCATAAGAAAATAATATATAATTTGAAGAATGAAATGAAAATATTGTACCCATGAATAATTAAATGTTTATTGTAATAGTAGTTCGACTTCTTATGATAGTGGCTAGAGATACCAATATGTCCATGTGTGTAAATATTTTTATATCAACTCAGACAATCGTGAAATTTATATCGCTAACTGCTATACCGATGAGAGAATATCGATCAGAGGTTAGTATGTATCATTCCACCTTAGATACTAGTGGACATGCTCTATGCTTTGATGTGACAACAGGAAAAGTATTAGTCAGGTTTGTGTTAGGCTATGTCTAGACAGTACTCTTGAAATGAATATAAAATCTAGGAATAAGAAGTATACTAAAATTTAAAAAATTAAACCTTGAAAGTAAAGCAAAAAAAGAATTCTTATATATCTCTAAAATATTCATAGAAATATTCCAAATTATGAACTCGTCTTTGAACAACTAAAGCACAAATAACTTACGAGTTAAATCAAGTTTAATTTTCAATGTTTCATCTTAAACTTAATTTTGAAACTTGAATTAAGCTTCTTATCTTTATAAAATCTTCATGTTTGATTGGTTTGGTGAAAATGTACGTAAATTGTTCTTAAAACTTCAGGTACACAACTTCTGCGTCTTTCCTTATGATAAATTCTCTGATATAATGATTGTGTGTATTAATATACTTGCTTTTATAATGAGAAAGTGGATCAGTGGCTAGTGTTATTGTAGACTTGGTATCAACCTGAATATTCATTGATTCTTCTTATGATAATATTAACTCCAACAAATACCAAAGTCAAATTGCATGACAATCATAAAAAATTGCAGCAACATGCTCCACTTCCAAAATAGAAAGGGTGATATTTATGTTGTTTCTTTGACATCCAAGTAAAGAAGGTGCCTCTTATAAAGAAAATAAATTCTATAGTACTTTTTCTATCATCTATATTTCCAGTCCAATCACTGTCACTAGGAGAGTCAGCTTGAGTTATTTCAAATATGAAAACCTTAGGGTCCAAAAGATCTTGCTAAAACATCTCCAGTCCTTATAGAAACTTAACTTGAGTTTCAATATGTTGGTTCCAATCAACTCAAGCTAATATTGAGGATTTGAAACCACACAATTGAGACTAAAATGAGTCAAGAAGCGGTTCAAATTTCTAAGTGGTGTGAGTCCTAGTACTACTCCTTTAGGAGAGTCAGTAGAAAAGTTTTATTGTTAAATCCTAGACTCCTGGAGAGAAAGACCGACCTCACAAAAAATGAGGTCAAAAATTTCACCAAAAATTAACTTGACCTAAAAAGGCTTGACCTGAACCCAACCTGAATATTAAACAACTCAATAAGTTAAACCTAAACCCCGACCCAAAAATGATCCATATAACATGTTTAACATAAGTCAAAATAGCTATACAGGTCGATTTATAGTGATTTTGGTAAATTTTGAGTAAAATTCATGTCAATATTGGATCAATTTCAAATTGGCGTATCAATTTGGGTCTATTTTGGGTTAGAAGGTCATCCTAAACTCGACCCAAAATGTTTAACATACTAGAATTCTTAATCTGATACTAACCCCAAAATTATTTGGGTCATCATCTGTACTTGATTTTTTTAGTCATGTTTGGTCGAGTTGATGTGTCGGGTCAATTTTTTGCACCCATAATTACCTTATCGTAGTACAATCTCTCTCCTCTAACAAAAGTGATCTTTATTATCAATGGGGTGACTTAGTCACTTGATATCTAAAAATGTCTTCGAGGAAGCTAATCACAGTATAGTTGACCGCTGAATTGACATATGCATCAATCCTCAATGAAGAGTAGCCATCCTTGAGGCAAGAAGAGTTGACAATAGTGAAGTCACACATATTTGTCATTTATTATTTCTCTTCTTCATCATAATCACGTTCGTTATTCAATCAAGGTACAAGACTTCTATAATAAACTTGGCGACAAGTAGCTTTCTGACTTCCTCCCAAATTGGATCGGCTAATGCGACAGTGATCGATTGAATTCTTTGTCATAGTGGTTGACCCTTTGGGTCAACATTCAACTAATGAATGGCTACATTGATGTCAATGACTAGAATATAAGCAGCTGATCAAGCAAAGAAGTTGACATGCTCCTACAATGTGGTTGCTAATGCTTCCTCACTATCCTCCTCATAGGCAGAGCTAATTTGAAGGCTTCGATTTGTTCTTCCTTTGCTTATTAGTATTTCAATAACAGCTTCCATGACTTCTAATCGACCACTTATTTGTATTATTGGGAGAAGTATGCTTTCCTCAACATGACTCATGACCTTTAGATAGCAGGTTTCTCGATTGAAGATCACCTTGAATTATTCACATGAATTAGGGAAGATGAGATTACATGATTATGCTCAAATTATAACTATTTTGAAATAATTCAGCTTATATAACTTTATAAGGGTAATTGAGACTATAACTACTGCAGTCTTACTGCAATAGTCATGGCGAGGCTATAACAGTCGTAGTTGTTTAAGCTGTAATTGGTTGCTATAATAGCTGTAGAAGAGCTGCCAAATTTGTAGTTGGAGGCTATAACAATTATGAGGGTCAAAAATTGACTTGAACGTCAACTCGACTAGAAATATCCATGTTTGAGTTTAAAATTATAACTTGTTTACAACTTGAAAATGAACCCAAATTGACTCTTCAACCTTAAATTGATTTGAAAATGCCAACCTTAAATTGACTCAATGATGACCAACAAACCCTAATTTGACCTAAGATTGACTCGAAATAATTTAAATTTAAATATAATTTTAACCTAAATAGCAGTTATTTCTTGTGTTAACAGGTTATACCAGTCAAGTTTGGGTTTGCGGGTTGGAGTGGGTTGTGTTCGGTTTGGAATTTCTCACTCATTTAATATTCAGGTCGGGTTCAAGTCAAACAATTTTGAGTTAGGTCAATTTTGGGTTAGCTCGAACACAACCTGTGAATCCAATTTGACACCCCTAATAACAACCACTGTTTGTTACAGAAGTCGTTGCTGGTTACATAAATTGCTAATAATAGTCAACAACCGTGGGTGATAGATGATGATGATCGCAACTGCGGGTGATCGATGATGATCTCTGGTGGTGGATGATGACTTTTTGTTTGTAGGCGGTGAACTATGGTGATCAATCACGATCTCAGGTGACCGATTAAAATTGATATTTTAAGTTTTAAGTTTTGGTAGTCAACTTAGTATTTTCTTCCTCAGCTCAAATTCAAGTGAATAATGATGATTTATTTATAGTTTTTTTAAGGATATTTTATCAAATTTTGACAAGAACCTTAAAAAATATTCTATCAGACGATCTACATTGATTCCCTTAATCATATATATCATTTTTTTCAACATTCAAGTGGCCTAATGACCTCAAAGTTGAATAAGCATGGGCATGTTGGATTCTTGCCAAACTGCTTGATTTGATAATAAGAATGCTAAATTTTGAAATCATTTATACTTCCAAATGATGCATTAAATCCTTTGAGTACAGTTCAAGTGTTTGATCTGAGTTTATTTAGACACAAATTTGATCACTTTCAATATCATTGAGTCTGCATGTCTAGATGCTTAGGTTGATTATAAAATAGTTGAAATTATATTTCAAATTAACTTCATGCATTAAAATACAAAGTTTGAAATTCATATAAAAAACTCAAATGATTTAAAAAGAAAAAAACAAGGAATTTCTCCCGTGCGTCGGCTTTCCTTCAGATCGAACTCCCGCGGGGTCGAACTCGGATCGAGCAAAATATCTGCTTTATTTCTCGGTCTAGTGATCTCGTCTCAAGCCTTTCTCGCTCCATCTGTTAACACCGACACGAGAAGAAGACGACGAACGCGAACCCCTCATAAGAAGCGATCTTCCACCACCCTATGGACCATGCTCCCCGATCCTCCTCCTCCACTTCCATCTGCGACGGAACCCTAAACCGAACTCTCATCCCCGGCCTTCCAGATGACATCGCAGCACTGATCTTGATCTCTCTTCCTTACTCCCACCGCTCTCGCCTCCGCCCTACTGCCCGCGCCTGGTACGCCTTTCTATCATACTCCTCCGTCGTTCCTCTCCGCCGCCTCCTCCGCCTCCCCCCTCGCCACGTCCTCTGCCTCTTCCCCTCCGACCCATCCGTCGTCCGCCCTTTCCTCTTCGACCCCGCCGCAGCCGCCTGGGCTCCGCTTCCCTCTCTACCCTGCAGTCCCTACCACTACGGCCTCTCCAACTTCGCCACCCTTGCTATCGGTCATCACCTCTACGTCCTCGGAGGCTCCCACTTCGACGCCCGCTCCTACCCCCTCGGCCTCCCCATCCCCTCTGCCGCTGTTCACCGCCTCGATCTCTCTGCTTCCTCGGCACCGTGGATTCGACTACCCGACATGCTTTCCCCTCGAGGAAGCTTCGCCTGTGCCCCGATCGCCGGCGCCAACGCCATCATCGTCGCTGGCGGAGGCTCTCGTCATGCCATTTTCCCCTCCAGCGGTACCCGCATGAGCTCCGTTGAGATATTTGATGCTGATTCGGGGGAGTGGGCGCCTTCCAATGGGTTGCCGAGGTATCGATCTGGATGCGTTGGGTTCTTTCGGAGGCTTCGACGGAGGCACTTGGTTGAGGAGGATGGTGCTGAGGAGGGCGAGGAGGAGTTCTGGGTGATGGGCGGGTACGGTGATTATCGGCCTGTGGCTGGCGTGGTGCCGGCTAATGTATATTATAAGGATGTATTGGTGCTTGGGCTGAGGAGTGGCAAGTGGAGGGAAGCTGGGGATATGTGGAAGGATGGGGAGAGGCAGAAGCTTGGCCAGGTTGTTGTCATGGATGGTGTGGATGGAGAGCAGATGGAAGTTTTCATGCTGGATCGCAACGCCATATTCAGGTTTTTCATTCTCTTTTCAACATTTCTAGCTTACTTTTACTGCTCCCCCCGTCAAATATTTAAATTGATTAGAATAACAACCTACAGAGACCAACCAACCATCTCCCTGTCTCCTGACATTAGCTCTTAAACGTTATTTTAGATCACCGTTTTAATAGCAAGTGCGCTTGTGCACATTACTAGATTTTAATAAATAAATAAGAACATCATAAAAGTGCAAAATTAATGAGTATTATAATATTATCATTAATATAATAAAGATAAATGTTTACTGTTGATGAAATGAGAAGCTCCTTTTTTAAGTTTTGCATGTATTATAGATGATTACAAGGGTTTAAATAACACAAATATGAAAAATTATTTGTTATCGTCAAAGTAAAACATAATATTATAAGGCTTATCGGGCAGATAATTTTAAATTTTAAAAATATGGCATTTATTGTTAGTTTCAGAGGAAATCAAATAAATCACCTTCAATTTATGCATATAAAACAATCATATATAATCACAGTGATGGAGAGAGTATTATTCATTAAATTTATTTCTCTTTAGAATGATTCTAAATTGTTTGGCCAAGAACTTTCATGTGATTTGAAGGACCTCAGTAGGCATTGTAACAAATAAGAAGGAAGTAGTTGAAATATATCATAAATCTTATAACAAACCTTAAAGAAAATCCCATATTAGAATAAAAAAGCCGTTAACAAAGAACTAATCCTTTAAAGCATTCTATGTTGTATGGATCTTGTTAGTGATTAACTATTTATATTCAGAATAGCATTTGATCAAAAGGAACATAAGAAATAACTATTCACAGACATAAGATTCTTTTATTTATCCTGCATAAACAATGAGTAGAAGTGAAAATGCATGCCTTAGATGAGTGATGTTTTTACTTCAAGTTTATTAGGCTCATAAACAATGGTAGGAGACTTTTGATTTAAAGAAAATATAAATCATAATTATTTGTTCCAACTTATTAAGAACATAATAGGGGTCACTATATATGATCAGACATTGCACTATTTTGAGAATATCCTGCCAAACAGTCTTCAATCTGCTTTCATTCTTGCAATCATAAATCTAACATATTCTCTCAATTTCATTATCACTTTGATATTCAAAAGTTTTGAGGTTGATAGCACAGTTCTGAAGATTGATTGGGCATTTTTCATTCACCTTAATGGCTACTCAAAAAGTAATTAACCACATACATTTGCATGTGCACAACCACATATGTAAACATAAGTGTACTATAGTATATGCATAAAGGCAATGTTATCTATTCTTGCCGTGTTCGATAAATTTAAAATGCCTTTTCACGTCTTAATGTCAGAATCATGTGTGATGTGCGCAGTTCTTATTATAGCCTCACAGGTTTCATATTCTAAAAATTTCATAAACAGCATTAAACAAAAGAAAAAATGAATAAAGAATGGAAAATACATAAGTTCTGTCATGTAAACATCTTCATTGGGCCATTTACAAAGTCTGAGTATGTTGATTACCTTGGACACGTTTTCAGCTTTAAAACATTTTATCTATAGTTAAGAAGCAACATACAAGGTATGTACCATTAAAATTGCAAGGCATATTTAAACTCATTCATAGTTATTATATTCATCATAGATGTTTAAAATGAATCATTTTATAAAAAACGTATGATTGGTACACATATAACTTTAAAAAGGGGCTAAAGGGTCTTTTAGTAATGTAATTCTGTCATATCTTTTTTCCTTATAATATTAAAAGATATTTTATTTGATGTTTTCTCAAATAATTTATCAAATTGAGTTAAAACTAAAAATCAAGAAATTTGATGCTACTTAGATTGGCGCGATAATATAATGATCCTAACCTCCATTTTTTTTCTAGATAGCACTTCATAAAATACACTAGACTTGACACGACACTATTATAATGTATATGCCATTGCTAGACATTAAACATAGTGTTAACATTTTAACACAATAATAAATATTAAAATTCTTCTAATAATATAAACAAAGTATATCTTGAATAATGTATTTGTGTTTTCAAATTAATCATATTTAAGTTCACTATAAACAGAACGAAACTAACAAATAATCATCAATGGGAAAGTTACAAATGTAATTAGCAAAGATTGAATATGAACATGGAGTATCTTATTTACTATTATATGCTTTGTTTAGCCAAAGCAATATCTTCAATTAAACTTGTACAGCCCATTTCAATAGTAGAGTGAAATTTTAGTGATTGATGTTATCTTATTGAGCTACTATTAGATATAATGTTATAAGATGAAAAGGAATAAAGCCTATATAAGATGGAAATTATATAATTTGCACTCAATAAGATTTATTAGTAATAAGAAGCAAAAGCAGGAAATATATGCCATTTTTCACTCTCCCTCTTTCTCACTCTTATTGTAATGACATATTTAGTTAATGGGCTCTTACTAAGGTATCTCTTTTGCAGCAGTAGTTTTCTTCTACGCATGATTAATATTTTAATCTTAGTTTTATGTTCAACATTAAAATTTGAATTTGCCAATTATAAGTTGTTTCTTTTCTGAAAGTGTTGGATGCTCCAATCAATTGTGTGTAGAGATCTCAATTCAAGAAACAAGAAAATGAAGAAATGTGGAGAAAATTGTATTCTCTTATTTCTCAATAATCAAATTCAACCCTTCTCCTTGTATAATAATGAATGGTTAGGACAAACTTAATTACAATCATTACAACTTAAAGAAATATGACACATTAAAAAATGACACTCAAATAGGAAACATATAATTTCACTCTCCCTCAAACTGGGCCATAGATATTGTAAAGGCCCAGTTTGGTATTCAAATCAGTGAAGCCACCTAGAGGTAAAGATTTAGTGAAAACATCAATGACTGAAGATGAGTTCAAATGTAGATTAAATAAATAATTTCGTCATTGACCTTTTTAGCGAAAAAAATTCAATCAATTTAAATGTGTTTGGTTCTGTCATGATGCACATAATTATTTGCAATACTAATGGCAGCTTGACTATCATAAAAGATCTTTATGTGATTGATCATGGAGTATCCCAACTCACTTAATAACCTTTTGATATACATTCCTTCACAAATTCTGAAAGCATGGAGTATCCCAACTCACTTAATAACCTTTTGATCTACATTCCTTCACAAATTCTGAAAGTGTCCGTTACTCAGATTTTGTACTGCTTCCAGAGACCATTGTTTGTTTCTTGCTCCTCCAGGTGACAAGATTTAGCCATACATAGGAACAATGCTCAGAAGTGGACATTTTGTCCATCAGTGCTTTTGCCCAACTAGCATCAGTATAAACATCTACCTTCATGTTGTACGATTTCTTAAATAATAATCCTTTGTTTGGGGTCTTCTTTAGACATCTCAAATTTTATAGACCATCTCCAAATGTTATTCATTTGGACTATTCATTTGTTATCCTATAATGCCGATAGAGTAAGCGATATTAGGTCTAGTGTGTGATAGGTAGATAAGTTTATTTACCAATATTTTTTTCTCATTTTCTTCGATGATGTCTTTTTTCCCCTTGAATGTAAATTTTTATTAAAATTCATAGGAGTCTCAGTAAATTTGGATCCCAACATCCCTGTCTCTTTTAGTAAATTTAGGCTGTGCTTTCTTTGGGATATCACAATACCCATCTCGAATATGGCTACTTCAATGTCTAGAAAGTATCTCATCACTTCTAGATCCTTAATTTCAAATTTAGTGACAACACCCTCCTTGATCTTCCCAATCTCATTTTCATTATCACTTGTCAGGATTATATCATCTGCACGGGCAATGAGTGTAACTTTCTTACATCTCTATTTATGTTTTATGAACAGTGTACCTAATCCGTTTAACATTGGATGTATCCATTAAATTTCATAGTCTTGACAAACGTATCAGACTAAGCCCTTGGAGATTATTTGAGGTCAGAAATAAAATAAGATATATAAAATAAAAACCATATATTTATTTTAAGTTATTTTTTCAGTTATGATGGGAATTTTATATACACTTTTTTCTCAATGTCTCCATTCAAAAATGCATTTTGGATATCAAGTTGATGCACTTTATATTTTTTTGTTAACGCCAAGGAAAGAAGAGCTTTTATAGTATATAACTTGGCCGCTATAGCAAATGTCTCTTAATAATCCATTCGATAAGACTGAGTGAATTCTTTGGTCACAACCTAGCCTTGAACCACTCAATTCTCGCATTTTTTTGTACTTTACATTGAAAACCTATTTGCGCTCAACGGGTTTTTTATCTGGAGGATGTTTTATAATGATTCATGTGCTATTTAGATCAAGTGCTTGGATATCCTTTTCAAATCTTTGTTTTTTCTAGAGAGTTGAGTATTTGCACACTATCATGATTAGATACGTAAGCTTTATTAGTTGATAGCTTCCCATAGGCAACATACTTTTGGATAAGATATTTTGTGCAATATTTTATTGTCTTCTCCACTAGATTCAACCTCTCTTGAAATTTCAGAGATGTGTAAATTCAGGTTTGGTTGTGAAGAGTTTCGTGTTTGCATATTGTCTTTATTCTGCTTAATAAATTTTGTTGTCCTAATATACAAGTGAAGTTCCTTGCTGTCAATCTCAGTTGAAATTTGGGTGACATGATGGTTAGAAGGAGAATAGGTTGTGATGACTCTAGATCAGTGTGAGTATCCAGAATAGTGTCCCAAGTCTGATATTCACTTGAACTCTCATCTTGAATATCAGATTTGAGATAGTAGGGTTAATTTTCGAAGAAGGTAATATCCATGGAGTTATAATATTTTTTTTTATATTGGGAGAATAAGAATTGTAGGAGTTGTACAATCAGAACCAAACACTTAAAATTTTAAAGAAAAAGGAGAACTTTCTTTTTCAAGCTTTCGGGTGAGTGAAGCGAGGGAACAAACCATATATGGGATTCCCACTGGCTAGTTCGCCGTACATCAGTTGCCCTGACGGCGCCGTAGCGACTGCTGATTCTA